GCAGGCTACTTAACCTCTCTGTGCCTACATCACCTCATCTGTAAAATAGAAATGATAATAGTTCCTACTTCCAACAGTCAATGAGAAAATTGCCTGGTGCCTAAGTACTTTATAAATGTTAGCTCCTATTATAACATATCTTGGTTTTGCTTCTTGTTTTATAATCCATATCTCTTTCTGCTAAATGAAGAGTTTTAGATAGTAAATTAAATCTTTGTAAGTTGGAATCTCTGTTATTTCAAGTTTTCCTCAGCAGATATTTGAATAGGAATTTTTTTTTTTTTTACTTCTAATACACTTTGTCTACCATATACTAGCAAGTAATACCACTGGAGGTATTTATGTTCAATGACAATGATCTGGAGAGAGTATGAATAAATTTGATTTCTGTAAATATCCGTGCTCTTATTCAAGTGTATTTGAGTTGATTGTAGCTTTATTTGACTAAATTCTTTCCTGAGTCATTCTTTCTTGGATGGAATGTTATTTTTAGTAATGGATTGTTTTCTCCCTCCTTATCTGGGGTTATATCTTCCTGGTACATATTAAGGGCAAATGTGAAGTGCTCTTCTGATGCATTATTTAGAAAACCAGAAGCTGGAGCTGGTTTGTATTAAATAAAATAGAAATTAGATAAGAAAGACACAGTGTCTGTACAAGCAAGATTTTATGCAGGGGAAAGGATTTCCCCTTTTTATCTCTTTGTATCGTTTTAATGTGAAAGCACTTGATTTTTAGTCCGACTAAAAGGTATTCATCGCCTAGTTCCACTGTTAATTTCTTTAACTCTTAATCATCCTTCATGTGGTTCATGATGTAATTATAACTTGAAATTCAAAATAATAAATTTATTAGTTTTTTTCCTTTTATTTTTCTAGATGATTTAGATGGTATTTATTTGTTTAAATGTTAAGGTTTTAGATTTTGTGGTGAAACATTAAACAAATGAGGAATGCAAGATAGGGCAAAGGAGCTGAGCTAAGATATGATTTCAGGAAAAGTTTCAAGCTTTCAAGAGTGAATTGCCCTACTTCCAGTCATGATAGTGTAATAGGTAGACATTGTTCTCACCTCCTCTCACAACTACATCAAAATTACAAATAAATTACAGAAGAGCTGTCATTGAGAGTCGCCTAAGATCTGGCTGAACAGAAGTCCTACAACTGGAGACATACATAAGAGGCCACCTCGAGACTGTTAGGAGGGGCAGAGATGTGAAACAGACTGGTCCCACAATTAAATGTGGCAGTTGAGAATTGGGAGGCCTATCTCAGCTGCAGAGGTCTCCCCCCACCAGAGGAGCAAGGGGTCCAGACCCTACACTGGGTCCCCCAGACCAGAGTTCCAGTGCCAGAAAGAGAAGTCCCCAAAACTCTCAAACCAGTGGAGATTGTGGATGAGTTAGAAAGAGGGCTGCGTGAGTCACAAATTTCCTCTTAAAGGGCCCATGCATGGACTTACTTGGTGACAGACTCCCTTGCTTTGAGCTCCAGCACTGGGGCAGCTTCTCAAAGAGTGACAGGAACATACAGGGAGGGATTGAATTGTCTGGCTTCAGGGAAAGGGCTGGAGGGGCAGCTTTCTCCCAGACAGAAGTGCTAGCAGAAGGTATTGTTCCTTTGTTGAGCCCTCCCTACTCCAGGAATGCAGACACAGGCAGCTACCATTTCTGAGTTCCATCAACCTGGCTAACATAGGTCACCCCACCCTGAGAACTCTGAGAACCCTGCTCCCTGAGAACCTTGCTCCACTCAACTTGCTGGCCTACCCAAGCCGCCTCCACTGTTTTTTCCATATAAATGGCCTGTCTTGGTTTATGCTGCAGACTTTCCTAAAATCTCTCAAAGGTTCACAAAACTCAGACAAGCAACATCTGGCCTTGGCGTGCTCCATATCTCTTGCTGAGCAATTCTAAGCCCAGCACAGGTGGCGGCCATCTGTGATTTGCTTGGTGTCTCTTGCCAGATGGCCCCAGATAGTGCACAGATTGTCACTGAACTTGGCCTGTAGTTGGATCCCTCCCAGGGGGGCCCTTGGGCTGACACACAATGTAGTTGGCTTCCACCAGACCCAAAGCACCACCTAGGGCTGCATCCAAGGACATACCCAAAGAGCAGACTGGACAGGCAACAGAGTTCTGCTAAAGTAAATCCTGCTCCACAGGGTTGGCTCCTCACAGGCCAGTCCTCACAACTAATCAGCCCAAGGGTCAGTCCCTCCAATTGATGTGCAAACAGCAACCAAGGCTCAACTACAACAGGAGGGCACACACAACCCATACAAGGGACACACCTGGAGCACCAGGGAGACTGTGCCACTGGGCCCCATAGGACACTTACTACATAAGGCCTTTCTACTAAGACCAGGAGATTTAGGAGGCCTAACTAATACAGAGAAGCAAACACAAAAAGGTGCCAAAATGAAGAGACAAAGAAACATGTCCCAAATGGAAGAACAGAACAAAATTCCAGAAAAAGAGCTAAACAAAATGGAGACAAGCAATCTATCAAATGCAGAGTTCAGAACACTGGTTATAAGTGTGTTCAATGAACTTAGGGGAAGAGTAGATTAACTCAGTGGGAACTTTAATGAAGAGATAGGAAACATAAAAATAGAGATGAAAAAAAGATAAAAAGAACCAGTCAGAAATGAAGAATACAATAACTTAAATGAAGAATACATTACAAGGAATCACCAGTAAATTAGATGAAGCAGAGGATCAAATCAATGATTTAGAAGATAAGGTAGCATAAAACGCCTAATCAGGACAGCAACAGGGAAGAAGAATCCAAAAAATGAGGATAGTTTAAGAGACCTCTGGGACAACATCAACTGTATTAACATTCACATCATAAGGATATCAGAAGGAGAAGAGAAAGAGCAAGGAATTGAAATATTTGAAGAAATAATGACAGAAAATTTTCCTAATCTGGTGAAAGAGATAGACATACAACCCTAGGAAACTCAGAGAGTCTCAAACATGCACCCAAAGAGGTCCACACCAAGACACATCATAACTAAAATGCCAAAGTTTAAAGACAAAGAGAATCTTAAAAGCAGCAAGAGAAAAGCAGTTACTTACCTACAAGCGAATTCCCATATGACTGTCAGCTGATTTCTCCACAGAACCAGGCCAGAAGGGATGGGCAATGAAATATTCAAAATGATGAAAAGCAAGGACCTACAACCAAGATTACTTTACCCAGCAAAGCTATAATTTAGAATTGAAGGACAGGTAAAGAACTTCTCAGAGAAGAAAAAGCTAAAGGAGTTCGTTACCACCAAACAAGAAATGTTAGAGGGACTTCTTTAAGAAGAAAAAATATATATATCAAAAAGATGATTAATAAAATGGCAATAACTATATATCTGTCAATAATTACTTCAAATGAAAAAGGATTAAATGCTCCAATTGAAAGATGGGGTGGCTGAATGGATAAGAAAACAGGACCCTTACATATGCTGCCTACAAGAGATTCTCTTTAGCTCAAAAGACACACATAGACTTAAAGTAAAGGAACGGAAAAAGATATTTCAAGAAAATGGAAAGGAAAGGAAAGGAAAAAGATATTTCATGAAAATAGAAATGGAAATTTCATGAAAATGGAAATCTGATGTAGCAATACTTAACCAGACAAAATAGACTTTAAAACAAATTCTATAACAAGAGACAAAGAAGGACCCAGTAATCCCACTTCAGGGTATTTATTCAAAGAAACCCAAAATGCTACTTTGAAGGGGCATGTGCATCCATTTGTTCATTGCAGCATTATTTACAATAGCCAAGATTTGGAGGCAACTTGGGTGTCCATCAATGGATGAATGAATAAAGAGATGGTACCTATATACAAAGGAATATTACACAGCCATAACAAAAATAAATTAAAAAGAATGAAATCTTGACATCTACAACAACATGGATGGACCTAGAGGGTATTGTGCAGTGGGAGTCAGAGAAAGACAAATGCCACAAAATTTCTCTTATACATGGAATCGAAGGAGCAAAATATACAAACAAAACAGAAACAAACTTATAGATACAGAGAACATTTCGAGGGTTGCCAGATGGGAAGGAGATTGGGGGAGGGGTGAAAGAGAGGAAGGGATTGGACTTCAAGGAGCACTGTAATGTTGTAAAAGGGTGTGTGTTTGTGTGGGGGGGTTGAGGGGTGTGTGGCTCTAAGGCTGACTCTCCCTTTAATCAGTTTTCCCCAACTGTTAACTGGTGGTATGTTTTGAAAATTGTGCAGTGTTATATAAATTTTTGAGAAATATCGTTATTATAGTAGGTAAAGTTCTGTTTCTCTATTTTCTCTAACCTATAAAATTTAATCTGAGCCCCCATCTCACAAGGCAAGTTGTTGATTTTCTCCAGGTGCCTTCCCCAAGGTTCTAGGTATGGCACACTTACCCTGCCTTCTTTTATTCCTGATGCTTATCCCAGCAGTTCTGTCAGGACAGAAAGGTCTTAGAAAGGTTCTTGGAGAGAAGGAGGGAGCCTAGAGCAGAGTAAAATTTTCACCTCCAATCTTAGGATCACATTGGTCATCTCAGAGATGCCTATTGCTTATGTCCTTATGTTCTCTTAGAATTTTATGGCACTGAAGGTTATAGGCCATGCTCAGACAAGGGAGTCTGAGAACTGAAAGCCTGATATCTAAGATCCAGCCGTTGTTGTACATTAGGCAAACCCTTCTTGGAGGCCTTACTTCCTGCCTTCTGCTTGCAGGACTTTACATCCCTTTCCCAGACTGGGAACATTTCTTTCCTTCCTACCATAAGAAACATCTCTCTGTCTCTTCCCCCTCCAGACTCTCTCACAGAAGATTTAAGGGTATTTTTGTAAGCAGATTCTACCTTCTGACCAGCCAAAGGGGAGGTGATCTTGAAATGCAGAGGTTAAAAAATAAGAACAAAACTTAAACCGATATGCTAGCGTATTATTTTTTAAAATATAAAACATAAAAATAATGCTACTTTTCCTTGTTTTTCACATATAGTAAAAAAGCGAGCAAAGAAAAATTTCACAGATGAAGGAGACCAGCTATTTAAGATGGGCATCAAGATTCTCCAGCAATCTAAAAGCCAAAAACAAAAAGCAGAGTAAGTCTTTATCCAGTTACATAAGCTAAGTTAAATTTCCAGGTTGAGAAAAAAGAACAATCCAAAATCTAATTTGTTGTTAAAAGTTTATTGGGGATGCGAATGTTTGTTATGTTGATTGTGGTAATGATTGCATGGCTGTAAACTTATTAATTGTTCACTTTAAATATGTATACTTTAGTATACTTCAATTAAAGCTCAATGAAGTTGAAAACTAAAAAAGTAATAATAAAAATAAAAAGTTTATCGGGATGACAAATAAGCTTACTTGCCCATAATTTGTTTTTAATAGGATCGAATAGTCTTTAAAGAATCCCACAAATTATCAGTAAAGAAATAGAAGAATTGTATGTAAAATTGTAGTTCCTATACATTAAGTGAAATACAGAATTAAGGCACTTATCTGAGCATTCAGGTAAAAATATCCTGTTTTGGCTTTAGTTTATTAACTTTTACAAATGAAATTAAGTATATGTTATTTGAATTAGAGTATTTGTTGTTTTAGACTGCTTTATTCTGCCTAACTGGGCATTTGTGTACCATTTTCTGTTTTTCAAAACCCTTCATGTATGTGATCCCATTTTATCCTCAGAACAGCCTTAATATTTAAAAGAGCCTCATTCTTCCCCCTTTAAAAAGTTGAGGACAGAGATTCAAGGATGTTAAAGTGAGGTGATCACAAATACACCACTGGGAGGGGACCAAACGGTGCCCATATGGTCTCATTCCATGTCCATTGTTTCTCTTTTCATTTGTTTAATTTGTCTAAAGGGGAGTCAGAAATGACTTCTCCCCTCAGTAGAGGGGCACAACATGAAGTCACTCCTCAAGTCTCTAGTGAAAACTTTGGATCAAATCCTAGCTCAACTATTTACTGGCTGTGTGATCCTGGGCAAGTTACTAAACTTCCTTTTGCCCTGAATAATACAAACAAGCTCTTAGAACAATGCCTGACACATAGTAACCAGGAGATAAGCATTTTTAAAAAATCTCTAGTCCTCTAACCGATAGTGGAAATTGTGAGAAAAAAGAAAGCAAGCATGTCTTGACCCAATAATAGAAAGAATGAGCTCTGAATCCCCAACAAGGAAGCATCTTTTATTTTCACACAGATTAGGCATACCAGTGCTGGAAGAAGCATCCCAGAGCTGTAGTAGCCAGCCCTACATAGGGCAACAGCAGAGTCCATGAATTCTTTCTTAAAATTTGAAGTGAGAAGAAGACTATAAGAGTGTAGAGGATGAGGGAGCATTCAACTATGAAACTGGTTATAACGACATCCTCGATTTCTGTTTATTAGCGCATATTCTGTGTTAGTCAATGTTCCAGACATTTATGTGTGTAATATTATTCATTGCTTACAATTATATTATTAGACATAGACTATTATCTCACAATTATGGAGGAGGAAATGGAAGGTCAAAAAGATTCTGTAATTCCACCAAAGTCGACAAGAAAGAAGTAAGGGAGTCGGTCTTATTTATTTATTCAATCATTCATTAACTTAGCCTCTTTGTATGTATGAGGGGAAAATTATTGAAAAAGTCAGTGCTATTAGAAATGCATATGTTAAGCAAGCATGTCGGGGAAACACAAACTTGTCTGAAGGAGTCAAGAAGCCTCAGTGACAGCTAGGGTTAACTGTCACTATGAATTATTCCCCATCAGCAAAGAATATTTGAAGATATGCTGCCCCACACCAAGTTTCTAATTGTTCTAGGGATACATTTAGCTCCACTCCCTTCCCTAGCACCCAATTTAGCATCCAATACCAGATCCTTTAAAGATAATCCAGATATGCAACTGAACTGTTTTGGAATCTGCCCATGCTGCCCAGTTCTCCTACTTCTCTCTTGGGGATTGCAGTCTAGACCTTAATCCTACCTAATTTACCAACAACTTTCTGCAATCCCGGGTCCTGCTTCTAGTATTCTTTATATCACCTTGGACTTTCCTGACAGAGGACCTAGATACCTACCCCTCCACCGGACTCAAAGACACACAGAGGGATTGGTTTTGCCAACTTTGCTGCTCCCTGGGACCAGTGAATGAATATACTGCTGGCTCCTGCAGCCCATCTCAGATTTCTCTGCTCTGGTCCATTTTAGCACCCTTATAGTCTGAGCATCCAAGCAGGCTATGTAGTTGCAGCAGCAAGCTATGTGGCATAAGGGCTTCAGGGAATCTGTATCCTGATGTCAAGTCTATCTCTGAATGCCAAACATTTGCATTCATTGACCTTTGACACCTTCTATCTTATTATTTGCCTTCCTGTCCCCAGAATCTCAGCTTGCTCTGACCATAATTAGTTTCTTTCTTAACCTCCTGGCTTCTTTTTGTTTCACTGCAATCTACTCTCTGTTTTGCCATCCAGGACCTTAATGCCTACCTGGATATCACTCAGTTCCAGACCTTTTTGTCCATTCTATTCTGTTCCAGCCTTTGACTCAAAGCAGGTTATTTTAACATCAGCCTGGACTGGTGGTACATAAAGCTGAGTCTCCTGTTCCTTCTGAGTTGGTAGCACTGGTAGATTTGTGTGTTTTTTCTTGCATTTGAGTCAAGATCACAGGAAGAGGATAATGCTTTTTGGTCTTACCACTACTAAAAAAGAAGTTATAAAAGTAAAAATAAATCCCAAAAATACTCTCTGTCTCTGACACAAGTTTTAACCTTGCAAAGCTTTCCATCTCTACTTGTTATATAGATCAGGTCCATGTGATTTCTGACCGGCTCAGAAAAATACAGTGTTAGGCAGTCCTATGGCATCTATATTTGTAATCACTAGACTTTCACACCATTTACCCACTAATTATGATACTATATGGCTAAGTGTAGAGACAGAAGAGAGAAAGAGCAATCAGGGGGATTTTTTTATAAACTATATAAATGTCTAACCAATGTACTGTACACTTGAAACTAATAATAAAATAAAATTTTAAAAAATATACATACCCTAAAAGAAACAAACTTTAGAACCTATACAATAGTAATAATAATAACAATAATAATAATAATAGTTAAATTTATTAAGTACTTATCTGTGCCAGGGGCTATGCCAAGCACTTTATGTGGATTATCTTTTCGAATCTTCCCAGCAACCTTATGAAATAGGTGCTGTATTACCCCCATCCCATAAATGAGAAAGGTGCAAGGAAGTTAAATAACTTGCCTGAAGCTCTCAAAATAATAAGTGGAGGAGCCAGGATTTGAACCCAGGCGGTCAGACTCTAGAGCCCTAATAACCATTAGTTTTTGTTTGGTTATTGTTTTTCCACACAGTCTTGCTTTGATGTACTGAGGAATATGTTCTGTTTTAGAAAATTACTTCAGAATATTAAGGGAACTGTTGTTCTCATAATAATAACTTCCTAGATGTGACATTCTAGTTTCGATTACTTTTAATTGATTTTTATTATATTGTTATATACTTCATAGTTCATTTTATAAAACAAATACTCATATAATGGGGGTTGCCATGGTAAAGTTCGCTATTTTAGGACAAGTGACTCAATTTTTCACTTTATTTGGTGCATAAGCTTGAAGCTTAATGTATCGTATATATTTCTCCTTTTTAGCAGCTTCAGTATTTGTCAGATATATTTGAAATTATAACCTTAGACTAATCTAAGAATAAAAAAAAATCTACTAATCTGGAGATGTAATGGACTTCAGCAAAACTGTATTTTTAGTAGCAGTGAAAATTAGGCCCTACTTGTTAGAAGTAGTATGAAGGAGGGAGCAGGAAATTTCGTATTTGAAAATCAGACTTCTAACTTCACCTTTTTGAAACAGAGCCTACATATTCTTTGCCAAAGCAGCTGACATGGGACACTTAAAAGCTATGGAGAAAATGGCTGATGCTTTGCTATTTGGAAATTTTGGCATGCAAAACATAACAGCAGCTATTCAATTATTTGAGTCCTTGGCTCAAGAAGGATCATGCAAAGCCCAAAACGTGAGTTTTGAAAGAAAATTAAATCTTAAATAGCTTAAAAATCCTGAAAAAACTATAGACAAGTAACATGTGAAAGGAGCTGGGTAATAACATTCCCACTCTACTGTGTGAACCCAGTCTGAGGGAACTTACTTGTAATGAACTGAGATAGTGTCAGCGCAGAGACACAGCAGCAGCCCTGGGCAAATTCTTATAGTTACATGGGTGACTTTTAGGAATGGAACAACACTGCTCTCTAATCCACCTTTCCATAGTCCATGTCTAAGTATGTGTTTTGAGATAATTTGAGAAATCTGAACCTTTAACATAGTAATATTTTATATCAAATATATTCACCTATACAAAGAAACAAGAACTAAATTTATTTCCTTAGAATAATGTTTTTCTTGTTTTAAAATTTGAAATATTTTGTAAGCTAAATATATTTTTTCTATTTTAAGAAATGTATTTTATTTTATTCCAAGAGTAACCTAAGTATTTCATAGAAAATCTAGAAAACAGCAGAAAAAATGATATGTGCACTTGCATTCTAACTAGAATGATGTAAAGAGAGGAAGAAGCCAAGGAAAAATACAAAGCAGTTCTAATAGTAGTTGAGTCAGGATAGTTGGAGTTGAAAAGACTTAAGTCCAAATCTACTCTGCCACTTGCTCAATGTATAGCTATGTAACAAAACTCTTTCTCCTTCTTCTTCATGAGAATTTGACCTTTGGCTTATTCCCTCATTCTGTTTCCCTGGTAATTTGATAGGAATAAAATGTTAACTGTGTTTCTAGGTAGCTTTGCTTATGATTGAAATGACTTCTGATTGGCAAACTTCCATTGAACTGTGAGAAACTATAATAAACTATTAATACTTTATGGCGGTAGTGATTTTTATGAGGACCCTGGACATTGCATCCATGGAATTGTTACATGGGGAATGAGATTTTTATGTTAGGGTGGCTCCCATCCCCACCCAGTGTGGATCTTACGCCTTGAGTCTGAGCCATCATCTGAGAGACCAAAGATGATGGCTGCTGGAAGATTGTGCAAACTGCTGCAAGGATTTTCACAGAAAGGAAAGCCTGATGTTACCTTCTGGCAAACTGTGGTTCCTGTGCTATATCCACCTGAATAGACTGGTGGCAAATGTAGCTTATGGGAGTTTTGCGAGTCTTTATGTTTAGTTGAACTGGAAGTTGAACCAGAAGCCCCCTGATGGTGGGGCAATTTAATTTTTATCTGTAGAGTTAGGATAATGACAAAATATTAGGTACCGTTGTCTGTATGGTTCATTGCTGTATCTCTAGTATTATTAGATGATATTATTTTTAGTGGTGGACATGATGGTAACATTTAGTCTGTCTTGGAACTTTATATTTTTGGTTAGCCAAACATGGAGAATAATTTTCATATTTTATTATAACACATAAATCTGTTTACTGTTTTTTAAATATAATTATTTTATATTTAATTTCAAAAAAGTCCCTGGGGTAAAAGTAGTATTCAACAATTTAAATTAATTAAAATTATACAGACATTTAAAATGATGATGAGATATAGCAGTGAACCATACAGACAACAGTATCCAGTATTTTATCATTATTCTAACTCTACAGATAAAACTTAGATTGCCCCACCATCAGGGGACTTCTTGTTCAACTAAATGTACCTGGTATAAGAAATATAATTAATTAATTATATATTTATATATTGATTGATTATATATTTATTAATAATATATTTATATAATTATATAAGTATA